CAACCAAAGATCCCGTGTGTGGCAACGAAGATCCCGTGTGCCACAACTAAGACCCTGCACAGCCAAATAAATAAATTAATTAAAAAAAAAAACCCAAAAACACACAACACGTGCGTGCGCGCGCACACACACACACACACACACACACACACACGAGTGTGAATGTATTCCTATAAGGAATGTGAGCTCACATCTTGCTTTTTGGGATCACATGGCCTTCATGCTGTGAACATCCCCTGCAAACTAAGAGTTCATAGCCTTTCTCCCAGTGGTTTTATATGTGAGGTCCGGAGCAGTGCCTCGTTCCCTCTGGCGCTGGGTAACATTCCACAGCAGGACCGCATCACCGCCTGTTTAATGAGCCCTGGCTGACGCAGGTTCTGGTTTTTCTCGATATGACTGTATTGCAGCCCCTGCTTCAAACGTTCTCAACCTGCTGTCTGATGTCCCTGGTTGGCTTTTCCAGGGTAGGTAGGAAGACATGAAATTACTGGGGTGTGGTGCCTCCCGTTTATTTTTATTTTTTTTTGGCCATGCCGTGCTCATGTGGGACCTTAGTTCCCCGACCAGGACCAGGGGTCGACCCTGTGCCTCCTGAATTGGGAGCACGGAGTCTTAACCACTGGACCGCCAGGGAAGTCCCCCATTTACTTTTTTAAAGATTTTTTTGATGTGGACCATTTTTAAAGTCTTTATTCAATTTGTTACAATACTGCTTCTGTTTTATGTTTTGGTTTTTTGGCAGCGAGGCATGTGGGATCTCAGCTCCCCGACCAGGGATTGAACCTGCTCCCCCTGAGTTGGAAGTCAGAGTCTTGACCACTGGACCACCAGGGAAGTCCCCCGTTTATGTTTTTAATGCTTATTTGCCAGCATAGGGTGGTTCAACTTCTCTCCACCCCCAGGAAGGATCAGGGTGTTGTCGGTGCTCCCAGGATAGATCAGCCCTGCTCAGGCTTTTTTACAGAGTGAATTTAATACAGGGGATTGCTTTCATCGGCATCGAAGGGCCGAGGAGGCAAAAGGGAAACACAGAGGTATCAGCTGCCGCAACGAAGGGGTGTGGAGACGGGGGTCTCAGACCTCTGAGGAGGGGGCACCCCCACTGCTGCTGGACCCTCAGGAGCTCAGGGAGGTGGCGCTGAGCCCCAGCTGGTTTTCACGACTGGGGCCGGGGGTGGGTGGGGACCAGAGATGCTGCAATGCCCAGGCCAGCCCTCACCACAGAGAACAATCCAGGGCCAACTGTCAATACTGGCCAGCTTGAGAAACCCCGTTCCAGGGCCCAAGAAGTTCTTTACGTGTCTGATCTCCCTAAGACCTCCCAAGAACCCTATTCAGAGTTGCTTCTCTCACCTCCATTTCACAGAAAGGGAAACTGAGTGGCTTGCATGAAACTGCCTGGGTTTGGTCTTGGCTGTGGGCTCTGCAAGCCACCCAGGGATCGGATCTAAGGAAATCTCTTCTGAGCCTCCATCCAAACCCTCCCTCTCTGAGTGCCCCCCCGTCCCCCATTTTGACCTGGGTCAGAAGAAGATCAAAGCAAGCACCTCTCCGGAGGCTGGACAGCGGCCACCGGGACATCTGATCTCCAGCTGGGAGGAGGGGAGACGCGGTTCTGGCGCGTCTGAGGGGGCTGGGGATGCTCTGGGGGCATCAAAGGATGTCCAGATCTCTCCTGACCACAAGCCTGTCTGTCCTTCTCTGAGGGCTGGGCATTTATCTCTCCTTCCTGTCATTCCTTCCCCTAGGCAATGGCCTTCTCTGATCTTCCCAGCAAGTCTGCCTCTCATTCGGGTCATGTATGCCCTCCACTGGTGTCCCACCCATGCAGCTGAGGCCTGCTTTGGAATAAACCGCCCTCACCCTCACCCCCACAGACGTTTTATCTGACCCTCCCCGCTTCTAAAAACTCTACTGTGGCTCCAGTGACCTGGGGGTAATGTCCCAACTCCTCTGCCACTTAATCACCCTTTTGGTCTGATTCTTCCAGCCCCAGCACTGACCACGGGGGGCTCGGAGGGTGTGGCTCCGCCCCCCTCACCTTAAGACGAGGGGCTTCAGAAGCTCTGGGGGTCCACAATTGCTCAGCCTGAGACCAGATCCACTGAATGAATGAGTTCATGAATGAATGAATGAGTTCATGAATGAATGAATGAGTTCATGAATGAATGAATGATGATGCTCCGGAGGCAGCTCCCTGGCTCCCCCAGGGTCAGAATCAGCTTTGTTCCTGCCTTCCCCACAGAGTCAAGGCCAGGAAATACTAGCTGACTCTAACAGCGCAAGGACCCGGAGATCAGAGATGTGCTGGTGCCTCTGCCAAACATCCCCTCGTTCCCCTGCTGCATCTGCCCCAAGGGGCTGCGGGGATGACGTCTTGTGTTCCTGACCCACACAGGAGGCGGATAAGAGGGAAAACTGAGCCACCTTTCCCTCCAGGTGGGCTCTCTCCTGCCAGTGAATAAATAACTCAAAGGTATTGGAAGTCACAGGGAGCTCAGTTGGAAACTTGAATCCGCCTCTTGTTAGCTGCTTGCCCTCTGGCAAGGGACGTCTGTCTGAGCCTCAGTTTTCTCATCTGTAAAGTGGGTGTGGCGACTTCCCTGGTGGCACAGGGGTTAAGAATCCACCTGCCAATGCAGGCGACACAGGTTCATGCCCTGGTCCGGGAAGATCCCACATGCCGCGGAGCGACTAAGCCCGTGCGCCACAGCTACTGAGCCTGTGCTCTAGAGCCTGCGAGCCGCAACAACTGAGCCCACGTGCCGCAACTACTGAAGCCCGCGCGCCTAGAGCCCGTGCTCCACAACAAGAGAAGCCACCACAATGAGAAGCCCGAGCACCGCAACAACGAAGAGTAGCCCCCGCTCGCCGCAACTAGAGAAAGCCCGCATGCAGCAACAAAGACCCAGCGCAGCCAAAAATAAATACGTTTATATATATTTAAAAAAAGAACAGAAGCAATATTGTAACAAGTTCAATAAAGACTTTAAAAAAAATGGGTGTGAAGTGTTGAGGGGTGAAAGGAGAGGAGGAATGCAAATGAAAAGCTTAGCCTAGTATTTTTTTTTAATATTTATTTGGCTGCACTGAGTCTTAGTTGCGGTATGCAGGATCTATTTTTAGTTGCAGCATGCGAACTCTTAGTTGCAGCATGTGGGATCTAGTTCCCTGACCAGGGATCGAACCTCGGCTCCCTGCACTGGGAACTCTGCAGAGTCTCAGCCACTGGACTACCAGGGGAGTCCCTAGGCTAGTAATTTTAAAAGTCGTCTTCCATTTCCTTCGGAGAAATCATCGAAGGGGAGCATACCCAGCAGGGAGGAAAGACTTGTGGTTCTTATCTCTCCTAATCCATTTATCAAAGATCTGGGTCTACCCCTTATCTCCTTTCTTCCCCTGCTAGGCTATATCTCTTGGAGCCACTATTCCCCATCCACACCAGTTTTTCAGGCTCCTTTTCATGAAAGAATTGTGGGTGGTCTGCGTCAGTGTGGGCGTCTGGGCCAGGCACCCCTTGGGTTGCCTGGGCTTCAAATTTATAAGTGGGTTCCCCTCTGTTTCCCAATTTCTGTCTGCATTTCTGATTCTCTGCCTGTATGTCCACCATTCAGTCGTTTGACAGATGTTTCTTGAGTTCCTACTATGTGCCAGGCATCGCTGGGGACAACGCAGTGACTGAGAGGGACCTGGTTCCTGCCTTCACAGGGATCATGGTCCAGTGGGGGAGACAGTTACAATTGGGGCAGGGAAAGGAGGAGGTGTCAGGGTTGTGATGGGGGCAGCCCAGGACACTGTGGAACCCGGAGTAATAACCAAGGGGGGAGGAGAGGGTGCTGGAAAGCCTTTCTGGCTGAGAATATTGAGAGAACGCTTAAAGGACTTCCCTGCTAGTCCAGTGGTTAAGACTCCTCGCTTCCACTGCAGGGGGCGCGGGTTCCATCCCTGGTCAGGGAATTAAGATCCTACCTGCCGCGCGGTGAGGCCAAAAAAAAAAAAAAAAAAAAGATAAAGCTTATATCCTTTTAAACATACATTATACCCATTCTAGAGCTCGGGAGACTGAGGCCCCCCGAAATGGATTCGTCCCAGCCGGAAGAGCTAGGAGGGGGTGGGGGTGGGGCTGGGGCTGGATCCCGTGACTCTGGCTCGAGTGCAGTGGAGTGCAGGCCTCCACTGCTGTTGGAGGCCCGGAGGCCGGGGGAGCTGCACCCTACGCTTGGAGGAACTTGAAACTGCTTGCGTGGTGACCCAATCGTGGGAGGGCTGTTGGAAGGAGGATGGGGAGGGGTCCAGAGCACAGGCCTCAGAGTCGCATGCACTTGACTCACTGTGCGCCCCAGAGCACCTGCGTCCCCTCTCTGGGCGGGTTTGTCGCCTGTGAAATCGGAGATTTGCCCCGCCTCCTGCTCTAGTGGGATGAGAAAATCCACGTGGGGCGCTCGGCACAGTCAGCGCTCATTAAATACCAGCTGGTGTTAGAATTCTGATTATCCCCATTATTATCGTTAATAACTAAATAATTAGAACCAATGCGTCCTCTCTGCATCCGATTGGGTCTCACCGCGTCGGGAAATCACCGGGCCCCAAGAGAGGCGAGGTCGGACTCAGACCTCTCTTCCACCCACCCACGCCCCGAACTCACCCCGTCTGCCCCGGCCTCCAGCAGGCAGGCCTCGTAAATTTGCAGTCAGGCTGAGATGGCGCGGGCTTGGAGACGGGGATGTGATTAGGGGTGCCCTTGGCGTCGCCCCCCACCTCCGTGGTAGGGGTCCGCAAACCACTGTGAAATCGTCGGGCGCTAGGACCCAGCAGCCCCGTCGGTGCCGGGCGTCGAGGCCGGGCTAACCCCGCGACCACGCCTCTCTTCGTGATGATTGGCTTTCCGTCCCTGGCCCGCGGCCCCGATTGGCGGACGCGGACGCCGCTCCCGGGATTCCCCGCCCCGCCCGAGCTAGTCTCGGGTCCACCGGCTTTGTCGCCGCAAAAGCGCTCGGCGGGGTGGGCGGGGCGGGAGAGGACAGCGAAGCAGGGAGAGCGGGGCGCGGGCAGCCCGGGCCGGGGGTCCCGTCTGCCGGCACTGGACGGACGGGCCGAGCCCGGAGCGCCGCCATGGGCCCGGGGCCCCCGGCGGCCGGAGCGGGGGCGCCCCCGCGGCCGCTATCCCTCGTTGCGCGGCTGAGCTACGCCGTGGGCCATTTCCTCAACGACCTCTGCGCGTCCATGTGGTTCACCTACCTGCTGCTCTACCTGCACTCGGTGCGCGCCTACAGCTCGCGCGGCGCCGGCCTGCTGCTGCTGCTCGGTCAGGTGGCCGACGGGCTGTGCACGCCCCTCGTGGGCTTCGAGGTTGACCGCGCCGCAGGCCGCTGCGCCCGCTTCGGCCCGCGCAAGGCCTGGCACCTGGTCGGTAAGCCCCGGTCCGGACTCCCCCATCCGACTGCCTGGCTCAGAGCCCGAACCTACCCCCTCTGTCCCACTGCTCCGTCCTCTCTAATTGCCCAACCCATGAGCCTTCCCATCTGTCTGCTTAACTGCCCAGTACCCCTTCTGTTTGTCTGTCGCATGGCTGCCGGCCGACCCGCGGAGCCTCCTCCGTCTGACTGTTCGTGTGACCGTCCAGTGTCACTTTTCTTTGTCTGATCCTCCGGGGCACCCTGAACCCTCTCTGGGTTGGGTCTACTGCCCGCGCCTCCTCTGTCAGTCTATCTGGTCTGGCCTGACTTCATCTGTATCAGGGTGACCACCCAGGACAACTCTTGAGTCAGGCTGCCTAGAGTCCCCTCTGGCTGTCTGTTCCCCCAGTGCACTTTGTGCATCCATCCCCTCACTCATCTCGGGCAACCTGGCACTTGGTGGCTTTGGGGAGCTGTCCTGGGAACTGGGTTGGGGACCGGGTGAGCCAGAAGGGTCGGGGTTCTGTGCTTGTCCGGCTGATGGGATGGGGATCTGCAGAGCAGGTAATGGGGTCACCCTCTGTTTGTTATGAGGGGGTTACCTGGACTAGAGGGCTGTTGGTGAGGGGAGGAGGTGGGTCCCACGGGGGCCGGGGCACCCTGCCCGGTGCACACCCATGATAAGGCCCGGCTCCTGGCATCCCTTCTCTGCCCGCCCGGACCCTGGGCCCTGAGATTAGCCCTGGCCACTTTGCCTGCTGTTCTTTCGCTGGCAGAAGTACCCGCCGCATCCTGGCGCTTGGGGCATGCCGGGCATTTAAGGAGGCAGAACCAGGAATCCTGCCCGCTTCTGGGAATTCTGGGCGGCAGCTTTCCAGAAACCAGGAGGGCCGGCTGGTATCTCCTTGCCCTTGGGAACAATGACTGAGGAGGCAGTGATTTGCCTTGGCCCTCATGAGGGACATTTTTTGCAAGGTACAACAGATCTCCAAGTTGCCTGCAAGTGGCTGGCGTTGCTGTGGCCGTGGCTTAGGGGCTGGATTTCAGTTTCTTAGACACTGAGGATGCACAGGCTGTTCTTGGGTCACATTAGGCTAGCAGCCCGGGTGCGGGGGCGTGGCGGGAGCAGGGAGAGGCATGTGACTCAGACCCTAGACAGAGGTATCCCTCTGCGGGCTGTGGTTGGGATTGCTTACAGAGCTGAGCCCAGAGTATCAAATGCAGTTTTGTTCATAATAGTTGAGTAGACCCGTTGACACACAAAAAAGGTAGTTCTTGGGTCAGAGAGATGTGAGGGCTGTTTTCTCTGGGGCAGACAGGTGAGCCCCTTCTAAGGAGATGGAGTCAGCCACAGGTAGGTTTGCCTGGCAGTGGACGCTGCACGTGCAAAGGCCCTGAGGTGGGACCTCGTAACAGCCTGTCTTCCCGTTTTGTAGGTGGGGGGCTGAGGTTCAGCGACGGCCCCACCTGACCCCAGGGGGAGACGCTGAGTCCCCTTGCAGAGGGGAGGTTAGGGTAGTGGAGGCACCTTTGTCAGTACACTGAAGGCTTTGTGTTTATGCCTTCAGCTTATGATGGGTGCCCCAACCAGATACCAGGGCCTCCACCTGTGCCCTCTCCCTGCATATGCAGAGATCCAGGAAGATCCGTGGAGAGAGGAAGCCAGGGTGGCCCCTTGTGATGCCTGATAAGGTGACTTGAGTGAAGGTCACCTCGGCCTCAGTGCTCACTTCTCTTTTCTACCCAAGTCTGTGGGTGGTGGGGACAGACTCATTCTTTCCCTTAACAAGCCCTCGGGGTTCCCCGTCTAGCGCAGAGAGGACCCAGAAAGCCAGACATGGACACTCCTGTCGGGTCCAGGCTGGGCAGGTGGGTAGACTGGGCTTCATAGGAAGAAGCAGAGCTCTGGAGGAGGGGACATTAGCTTTGGGGCTTTGAAGGACGAACAGGAGTGTATGTGTGTAGGGGGGCATTCCAAGTAGTTGAAACAGCTTTTGCAAAGGTGTGACATCTCATGGCTTTGAAGTTGCTGAGACAGGAAGTGGCGCAAAGAAGTAGGAGCTTCCGATTTCACACATTAACTCTTAATTCTCATGCCAATTTTGTGAGGTATTTTTATTAGCTCCCTTTCCTGGAAACGGAGGCCCAGAGAGGCAGTCACTTGCCCAAAGTCCCCCAGCCAGGCAGCCTGGCCCTGACAATGGTTAACGTGTCCTGGGCAGCAGCAGGGTACAGTCCGTCCGGCCAGGGCTGCACATTCTTTTGACCAGAGTCTACAGTTCCTGTCTGGCCCCGGGGTGGCCTCCAGGCCACCAGGAATCTGCCTGGGGTGCCTCTTCCAGGCACCAGTTCCAGAGAAATACCAAGCGTGGTTTTGGTTTCATTTCCCAGTCCCTGAACTGTTGGGGTGGGCCCAGGGTCTGGGGGATGAGGTCACCTCCGGGGCCTGGTGGGGAGGAAGGAAGTCTGGCTCCAGGCGCTCTGGGATGGGAGGAGAAGGGTGGAGGGCTGGAGGGAAGGAGCATGGCTGAGTCCAGCAGGCTGGCCTCGCAGCTCTGCAGCTCACTCAGTGGGCCTCAGTTTACTCATCAGGAAATGGGTTGGTTTAATAATAACATTTACCTCTTTGGGCTGTTTTAAATAGAGGCCACTATTATTATTATTCACTCATTCAAAAGATCTTGATGTGCCAGACTCTATATTGGGTGCCAGGGACACAGAAGTGACTTGGAGAGACCTGTTACCCACCCCCCACACAGAGAGACAAAAGAATTCCTGTGTGTGCAAAGGGGTATGAAGGAGAGAAAGCAGGGTTCAGACAGAGGGTGTCAGAGTGGGGAGGGGACTGCTGGTGACTGGGCTGGTCAGGGGGGCTTCTTTGAGGAGGTGGCATTTTAGTTGAGTCCTGGAGGGATGAAGAGGAGTGCGCCTTGCTAAGATGTCATGGGAAAAGCATTCCAGGCAGAGGGGACAGCCTGTGCAAAGGCCCTGGAGCAGAAAGAACAGGGAGGAGGCCCGAGTGGCTGGAGCAGAGTGAGCGAGGGGGAGAGAGGGAGGAGGGGATGGGTCAGGGCGGGTGGTGCAGGCCCCTTTGGGACCTCGGGGAGAACTTGTGCTTGTTCTGAGGTATGAGTGTTTTCCAGGGAGAGGCACCTGGGCCTCCTGACTCCTGGCAGCCCCACGGGACGCCTGGTAGGAGCTGGGAGGAAAAGGCCCCCTCCGTGGGTGAGGCGGGAAGGGGAAGTGATGGGGTAAGTGGCGCATCTGTGGTGGGCAGTTCCCCAGGGGACCTCCACAGCGCCCTTTCAACCTGCTGCGTGGCCTTAGGCTCGGCTTGTTTCCCCAGCTGTCACCAAGGGGGCAAACTTGGCGAGCCCTGAGCCGGCATGGCAAGAGCCCATTCTTGGCCCCTGTCATCTGGCCCTGCCCCTGCATGGTTACAGCATGTGGCCGGCTCTGTGTCAGTTCCCCCATCACACACGAGGGGCCTAGGGCCTGGACTGGGAGGCCCAGCCCCTCTGTCCTGTTGGGCTGTGTGTCCTCAGGGGGGGCCCCAGATCTCTCGGCCTTAGTTCCCCATCTGTCACAGGGGCTGTAAGCCTGGGGAGCCCCGGGCTGCTGACACCCACTCACTGTGTGACTTTGTTGTGTGTGTGTTTGTGGAGGGGGTCTCTAACCTTTTCCATGTCTCGGTTTTGTCCCCACCCGCTCACCTGGGGAGCCCTGGGCCAGCGTGGGAAGACCCTGCAATGTGCCCTCCCCGCTCTGCTTGTCCACAGGCACTATCTGCGTCCTGCTGTCCTTCCCCTTCATCTTCAGCCCCTGCCTGGGCTGCAACGCCACCACGCCTGAGTGGGTTGCCCTCCTCTACTACGGGCCCTTCATCGTGATTTTCCAGTTCGGCTGGGCTGCTACACAGATTGCCCACCTCAGCCTCATCCCGGAGCTCGTCACCAACGACCACGAGAAGGTGGAGCTCACGGCTCTCAGGTGCAACCTTCGGGGCAGGGCGGGCAGGCGTGCGAAGAGCAGGCACGGCGGGGGGCCCAGGGCCACCCTCCCACGTCTGGGCTCTGCTTGGCTGTGCGGCTCTGGGACTCTGCCCCAGCGTGGGCATCTGTACATTAGTGTGTTATTCAGCCATTGCTGCGTGACAAATGAGCACCAAGTTAGCAACTTCAAACAGCACCCATTGACCACCTCCTGGTTTCTGTGGGTCAGGAGTCTGGCTTAGCTTAGCTGGGTTCTCAGCGTTAGTCTTGAGGCTGCAGTCAAGGTGTCGGCTAGGGTTGGGGCGTCATCTGAGGCTTGGGGTCCCTCTGCCCTGCTCTTGTCATTGTTGGCAGTGTTTGTCTTCTTATAGATTTAGAAGTCTTGGGGGTGGGGACTTCCCTGGCTGTCCAATGGTTAGGACTCTGCGCTTCCACTGCAGGGGCATGGGTTTGATCCCTGGTCGGGGAACTGAGATCCTGCACGCTGCGCGGCACGGCCAAGAAAAGAAGTCATAGGGACTTGCTGCTTCTTCGAGGCCAGCACGAGTCTCTCATCTCAGGGGTGGTGTGAGCCCACTTTCTGAGGGTCGCCTGATTAGGTCAGGCCCACTCAGGATAATCTCCCTTACTCACATCCACAAAATCCCTTTACCTTTGCCACAGACAGTTACCTAACACGGGCTTGACGTCCCATCACATTCACACGTCCTGTTCCCCAAGGGGAGGGGGTTAGAGGGGGCAGGGAGGCAGGCCATGGGAATGTCTGGACCATCTTAGAATCCCGCCTCCCACACGTGGGTACAGCTGGCGCCCAGCGCGTCCGTTTCTTGCTTGAGGTGCTGAAGGAGGTGATTCTGCATGTGATGGTAGCAGGGGCACTTATGGAACGCTTGCTGTGGGCTGGGCACAGTTCTGGGCCCGTCACGCAGAAGATCTTGAATTCTCACAAGTCCGAGAGGTTGTCATGTGCCCAGGGACAGGGTTGGAGCAGAGTGGGGCGTGTGCAGTGGGACCAGGGATCAGATGACAGTTCTCGGCAGGAGGGACGTCACACGTGAAGGTGGCCGTGCGGGCATAAGCGCTCGTCATGAGGGCCCTGCCTGTCTGAGCCCAGTTCCCCATTACGGCCGAGAGCTGCGGGCACTAACGGCGGGGGTTGCTCAATGCCTGGGGCCCCCGAGGGCCCCAGCTGAGGGGGACAGGCTGGGCCCGGTAGAGGCCAACCTCTGGGCGCTTTCTACCCGCAAGTGCTTTACCGCCTGCCTCGTGTCATTTTCGCCTTGACTTCTGCGGGTGTTCTTGTTCTCACTTTCAGAAAGGGAAGTGGACTCCTGGTGAGATCCAGAGGCTCCTCACCCCGGCCAGGGCCCTAGGCAGGCCATGGCTCTGGGGCTGCAGGCAGGACTGGACTCGGATGACTCTAGACCATGGAGCCCTTGCCCAGCTGAAGCCCAGGATTTCTGAGTATCTTGGGTTCTCAGGCTTCTGGGTTGCAGGCCTGACTTGGCCCTGCTTTGCTGAGTCTCTACATTCAGGCCCCAGGCAGATGGGACCTCACGGTGGGGTCTTGGGCCAGAGAAATCAGATACGTGCAAGCTGGGGAAACTGAGGCCAGCAGAAGCTTTCCTGGGCTACCCAGTGTGTTGGTGGCTGAAATCACCTGGCCGGAGGTTCCCCAGACGCTCTGACTGTACGCCTGCCTGGGGAATAAGTGGTTGCGTGGCTCCCGGGCTGCCCTGCTGAGGCCTTGCCTGTGCCCTGGCAGGTACGCCTTCACCGTGGTGGCCAGCATCACCGTCTATGGGGCTGCCTGGCTTCTGCTCCACCTGCAGGGCTCTCCCCACATGGGGTCCACCCAGGATGTCTATGACCAGCTGGGGGTCCAAGATGTGCCGGTGTTCCGGGTGAGCTGGGGCCTGGGGTGGGCCAAGGCTGGCTGCTGCCCGGGTGGGACAACCCCAAGGCCCTGAACTCAGGGCTTGGGCCGAGAGTCGCTGCTGACCCCTCTCCTGCCCGGTCCCCAGAACCTCTCGCTGTTGGTGGTGGGCGTTGGAGCTGTCTTCTCACTGCTGTTCCACCTGGGCACCAGGGAGGGGCGCCGGCGGCAGGTGGAGGAGCCAGATGAACACAGCCCTCTGTTGGCCCCTGCTACTGCCCGGCCCTTGCTGCTCTGGAAACACTGGCTTCGGGAGCCAGCCTTTTATCAGGTATGTCACAGGGGCAGAGGCTGTTGTGGTTGATGCCCCTCTCCCACCAGGCCCTTACTCTGTGCGGCTGCAGGCAGGGATGGCAGACATTGGAGCAAAACGTAGCCCCTTCTCCAGCCACACCCAGGACAGACACTACTAATGTCACTGCTCTCTTCTCCACCTGACCAGCTAGGCAGTCACTGCTAATGGATCGGGTGCCAGCTGCAGGGTTACTCCCGTTGGCCCCCAGTGCTCCCCGCTTATGGGAGTAGAGGAGGGCCCCCTCTGACCCGTCCCTCTGTTTACAGGTAGGCTCGCTGTACATGAGCACGAGGCTCATTGTGAACCTGTCCCAGACATACATGGCCATGTACCTCACCTACTCCCTCAACCTGCCTAAGGTGAGCCAGCCGGGTGGCGGGGGTGCGGGGCCCTGAGCCTGATGAGCCACTCCTCACACGCCTGTGCCCACTCTGCCCCAACAGAAGTTCATCGCCACCATCCCACTGGTGATGTACCTCAGCGGCTTCCTCTCCTCCTTCCTTCTGAAGCCCGTCAACAAGTGCATCGGGAGGAATGTGAGTAGGCCGGGCAGAGGGTAGTGTGCCTTGTGCAACCTGGGCGACTCCAGACCACGGCCCAGCGTGGGAGCCAGAGGGTGGCCGGCGTGACTGAGGAACTGAATGCTTCATTTTGTTTCCTTTTAATTGGGTTGCGTTGAGACCCAAGTAGCCGCCCACCTCTAGTGGCAGCTGTAACAGCATAGCCCTAGAACATCTGCTCCCTGGAGCTCGGAGCACCTCTGAGGCTCAGAATCCTCTGAGGTCAGAGCTGGGGGCTCCTTAGGGATAACCCAACTCAAAGCCCCGCCTTTGCTGGGGTTGGGGGCCGGACTGAAGATCAGAAAGGGCAAGTGCCAGGCTCAGGGCTGCCCAGCGAGGTGGGCCTGATGCTGGGCCGGGCTCTCTGCAGATGACCTACTTTGTGGGCCTCCTGGTGATCCTGGCCTTCGCAGCCTGGGTGGCACTGGCAGATGAGCTGGGTGTGGCTGTGTATGTGGTGGCTGTGCTGCTGGGCATGGGCTGTGCCACCATCCTCGTCACCTCGCTGGCCATGACAGCTGACCTCATCGGCCCCCATACGGTAGGGCCGCTGAGCCAGTGCGGGTTGGGGTTGGGGACCAGGGCCGAGGCCTGGGATGCTTACCCCCTGCTCGTGCCCCCCCAGCACAGCGGAGCCTTCGTGTATGGCGCCATGAGCTTCTTGGACAAGGTGGCCAATGGGCTGGCAGTCATGGCCATCCAGAGCCTGCACCCCTGCTCGTGAGTACCCCTATCCATTTGTTCTTGCGTTTAATGAGCTGTGCTGAGGCCGTGCTGTGCCCCAGGCGCTGCCCCAGGTCTGCTAATTCCATGAGAACAGAAGACCCCGCCCCGGTGGCCTCACAGCCAGGGAGACCAGGTTATTCCCCACCTCGAGCACCCATTTATTTACTGAGCCAACAGTCTGTCCTGGGCCGGGTGCTGAGGACACACAGATGGATCGGGGGGATGTGAGCAGACAGGGCAGAGGGAGAGCCTGGAATCCCTGTAATTCAGACCCTCAGAACCTAGGGTTCCAGCCCCAGATGGTTCTAGACCTGAGTTTGCACCCTGTAGAAGCCCAGGATTTGGGACTGAAAGCTGGCCTGGTCCTCTGTCCTCATGGAGCTGGGGACAACACGAGCCACATGAATCATCTCATGAATAAATGTGTACAAAGGGTGTGAAGGACACCACTTGGGGAGGCCTGACTGGGGCGAGAAGTCAGGAAGGGCTGCCTTGAGGTGACGTGGGACCCAAGACCTGGAGGATGTCAGGGAGTTCTAGGCGTATGGGGAGGAGCATCCTTGTGCAAAGGCCCTGGGGCAGGACTGTGCCTGGCATGGTGGAAGGACAGCAACGAGGCCCTTGTGGCTAGAGCACAGTGAGCGAGGTGGAGAGAGGGAGGAGGGGAGGGCAGGGAGGGGATGGGTCGTGCAGGGCCTTGTGGGCCACAAGAGGACTTGGGTTTTTGCCCCAAGGGAGGTGGGCCCCTGGAGGGCTGTGAGCAGAAGGGGCGGGGTCTGAGTCAGGTGCTCACAGGCGCCCTCTGGCGGCTACTGCGGGGAGGACAGACAGGGAAGGGAGGGTGGGAACAGGGAGGGGACTAGGATGGTGGGGGGGGCAGGTGGTGACGGGGCTGGATCCTGAGGAAGGAGAAATGGGCAGTCTGGGGTAGACTTGGAAGGCAGAGCTGACCTTACTGACTTAAGTATCAGCTGTTGGAGGGGAGGAGGGGGTTGAGGGCAACCACTTGGTCCTGGCCTGAGTGCGGGGAAAGATGGGGTGCCCCGGCTGAGATGGGAGGAGCAGGAGGTACAGGCTGGGGCTGGAAGGTACCGACAGGCGTCTGCTCACCCCCCTTCTGCCCTTCCCCTGCCCCCAGCTCAGAGCTCTGCTGCAAAGCCTGCGTGGCCTTCTACCATTGGGTGATGGTGGCCGTGACGGGTGGCGTGGGCGTGGCCGCCACCCTGGCTCTGTGCAGTCTCCTGGTCTGGCCCGTCCGCCTTCGGAGCTGTGAGTTGCAGGCCCCGCCACCCCACAAAAGCCCCAAACCAGCCATGGGTGTGTAGGTCTGGGCCAGGACAGGCCCCGCCCTCCCTAACCCCACTTCCACCCCCTTCTCTTGCAGGGCACCCTGGAGCCCAACCTTGACACCGCCCCATGGTCCTTTACCCTTTGTAAATTAACCGCGACTGTGAACGCTCGCTGCCCTACAAGGCCTGCAAGCGGCCCCTTTGCTGCTCTGATCCCACTCCTGCGTCTGTCCCATCCCTGCCTGGCTGCGGGGGGGTCAGGTGGGGCTTGGTGGGCAGGATACCAGCAGCTTCTCCCCGCTAGGGTGGGGACACCGAGCTAGGCCCTCTGGTATTCAGGGGCTGGTGGGGTCCTTGTGGGTCTGGGGTACCCCAATCCTGACTCTAACCCACCCCCAGCTGTCTGGATGATTCGGGGTGCCCTGTGTTGTGTGGGGGCCGGATGTGAGGCTCCTGGGTGCTGGGCCTGCCCCGAGCTCAGCCCCGGCCAGCCTAGGGTCTCCTGGGTGCTACTACCGGGTGCCGCCAGGCCCTGGAGGACAGAGCCATCGCGGAGCCTGCCAGGAGCCCCAGCCTCAGGGTTAGGGGGCTGGGCCCAGACCCTACCCGTGGCGATGGTGAGGCTCAGCACGCCGGGGCCCCGAGTGCGGCTCCCTGCACCCAGGCCACTGCTGACAGTGAGTAAAGAGCCGCCTGGGGCCAGGACTGTGCCTTGGCCTGGGGCCCGGGGTAGAGGGAGCCGAGGGCAGGAGAGGTCGTCTGTCTGACTCTGCCCTGGAGCTTGGTCACTAGGGTCCTGGTTCAGAGCTCCCTTCATCTGGCTGCCTGACCTCCCCAGGCCCCAGCCCCAGAGGTGGACAGATGCCTTGGGGGAGAGGCGCCGGGTCCCTGAAGAGCCACACCGGGCAGCACGAGATCTTTATCGGTGACTGGGCATGTAGACGAGCCGGGGCTGCTGGTTGGTGGAGGGGCAGCAGGGTTCCAGGTCCCACTGCCGGTAGTTCTGGGTGGTGTAGCGTGGGCGCTGGGGCGCCGACAGGTATGGCCCGTAGTCAGACGCCTGCCACAGCGGCTTGACCCCGAATTGGTGTCTGTGGATCACTGGGGGGCCAGGACCCGGGTCACTGGCTGGCCCCGCCTCCTGGCCCCCAGCCCCTGGGTCGCCTGCCCCTGGCCCAAGCTCACCGTACTCCTCGTCCCGGTTGGGTCTGTCTTTCCATAGCATGCTCCCGTACTGTGTGCGGGGGCCCCTGTACTGCGCAGGGATGATGGGGTCGTACCAGGCGGTCTCCCGGAGACGCTGGGTGTAGGCTGTGGGGTAGGGGTCAGGGGTCATCTCTGCACCTGTGGGCCTCACCCTCCCCTGCAAGCGAGCCTGGTGTCAGGGAGGGCCGGGCTGGGCACTCACCCGAGGGCATGCTGGGCATGCTGCGCTCCCGGGGCGGGGGGGGGGGCTGTGGCATCCGTGCCTGCGGGCATAAGCCTCGAAGTGTGGGCTGTCCAGAGCCCGAGGGAGCATGTTCCAGGCTTCTCGAGAGTCCGAGTTGGTCAGGCCCGTGTACCACAGCTGGCCGGCCGCGTCGCGTCCCATGGGTGTGTACTTCCAGCGCATCTCCTGCTTGATGGCCGGTGTCTGGCAGGGCCCCTCCTGGGACAGGTAGTCATTGCTGAGGGCAGGGGTGGGAGGAGAGAGACTGAGTTTTCAGCCCCCCTGCCCTCTCCGGGCCTCTTCATCCCCATCACCAGCACTGAGGGTGCAGAATGCAGAAGCCTGGCCCGAGGTGCGGGGGGCCTTGTCTGTCCTTCAGTACTGGACACCCTCCCACCTAGGCTGGCAGAGGGCGGAAGGCTGACCCCTTGTAGCCCCTCCTCTCTGCCACATCCTCCCCAACCCCCAGGACCTCCTAAACATTTCATCTTTTCTTGCCTCTACTAAGTCCTTTGCCCAGCCTCCCAGACCTGCAGGCCCTTTCCTCCAGGAAGCCCCCCTGGCCTGGAGGTGCACCAGGAGGACGTGGTCTCAGCTATGGCTCAGTGAGTGGCGCAGGTTTCACCGTCATTGGTCTGGCCTGGGAGCCGTGGGCTGGGGACACTGGGAAAGTGTATGGGGAGCCCATTCTCCCAGGGAGACCTTCGGGGAACCCTTGTGCCATCGCCACCCGCCCAGCTATGGGGGCCAGCGGGGAGTGAAGGCAAGCTCACATTTAAAGGAGAAACTATTGCAGCTACACAGGAGTGCCTGTTCCAGGGGCCACTGTTGCCAGAGCCCGTCCCAGGCTGAAAGCATCAGGAGGGCTCCCCTGAGGAGGTGGCAGTGATGTGAGGAGACTCCCGCTTGTGCAAAGGCCCTGGGGCAGCAGGGATGGTGTAAGGAACAGAGGCTGGCAGAGCAAAGAGGGAAGTGGAAATATGCTAACGATGGCAAAAATCAAACCTCAATGAGATACCATCAAAACTAAAGCTATCCTTCGGGAACACCCTCACAGCACCACTGCCCAAGAGACAGACATGGGCACGTGCTTTGACCTGACGAGCTTGCTCCAGGGAGATGCCCTAGGGAATGAGCCCGTGGCCCCAAGATGGTCCAAGCAGGGCTGCTGATAAAACGTTCTCCCCTGTGCCTGCTTGGAGTTCCCACTCCACACGGAAGACCAGAAACCCACGTGTTTCATAAGAGGTGGGCTCGGCCTGGTCAGTTCTGGGAAGTGGCCGCAGGCTGCTTTGCCACTTGCAGGGAGGGGAGTTTGGGGACCGTCTGGCAGGCCCCACTCTTTTGAACTACAAAATGAACCAAAACTACAAAATGCACCTGGCTTGTAAAAAGGAATTAAAACAGTCAAAAATAACACACAATGAAAAGCGAGTCTCTGTGTCAATTACACCTCAAAAAAACTAATAAAAGAACATCGCGTTATGGCTGAAAAACATTTTTTTCTCCTAATAAATGAATGCCTTTTTGACGTAGAATCAAGAAATCCAATGGCATTTAAATAAATAAAAGTACTGGAAAAAGCAGCGAGTCTCCCTGACCTAGCTGCCAGTCCCCTCCACCAGGGCCGCCACTCTTACTGGTTTCTGCTTCATTGAAGCAGCGTGTAGGCACGAGCCATTCCATCCCATCACACGCCTGTGGGAACTTCTATCGTGGTGGCAGTTTTTTTTTTTACTTAATTTTCTTGGAAATGGAACAGCAGCAAGGGCACTGACTCGCCTTTCCTGTAAAGCAGCATGGTGACCCATTATAGTTTATTAACGCTTATTAATGGGTCCTCTAATGGGTTGAACGTGTCCCCCCAGTTCACGTCCACCCGGAATCTCAGAACATGACCTTACTTGGAAATAGGGTCTTAGCAGATGTAACTTAAGACATCTTAAGTTAAGACAAATAGGGTCTTAGCAGATGTAACTCAAGACATAACTTAAGACAATAGGGTCATGCCGGGTCAGGGAGGCCCTAATGCAACCCTAATGCGGAGCCCTGGTGAGGCTGGGGTATCTACACGGTCAGGGGAGGTCACGAGACAAGGGACGCCACGGACTGCCAGCACCCCCAGAAGCCAGGAGGGACACGGGGCAGATGTTACCTCAAGGCCTCAGAAGGCCCCAGCCCTGCTGACACCTTGGTGTTGGGGCTCCCGGCCCCCAGAGCTGGGAGAGGTAAATTCTGTGCTCGAGGCCGCCCTCTTGTGGGGTTGTTCCAGCAGCGCAGGGCTCCCAGGAACCTATCTGCTCTGCTGGCTGGCTGGGTGTGTGTCCTGCATGCGTGAACCACCACTCCTGCCAGGTCCCAAGCCTGGTGCAGGTGGGTGGGGAGGGTGCAGGGAGCAGGTGCAGCACCCACATACCTTTATGGAGACTGAAACACACTGGTGGGAAGCAAACCCAAAGAGGCAGTGCAGGTGCAAGGACGTGCTCACCTGTAGAGAGATGCCGGGAGGTTCACTTCCAGGGTCCCCCGGGGGACGTAGGGCCGGGCAGCCTCCTGCCTCAGGGTCTGCATGTCTGCCTCTGGGTGCCCGGGGGCTCCTGCCTCCAAGGCCTGCGGGGCCATTGTTGACAGCTACAAAGGCAGCCCGGAGTCCTGGCAACAGCTGGGTCTGCTGGCCACCATCCAGGCCACTGCCTCTCCCCCAGCTGAGGGGCCGAGCCGGGAGAGCAGAGGCTGGAGAAGGAGGCGGGCGCTCATCTGGGTAGGGCCGACCTGGGGCTCAGCCCTCCCACCTCTTCTCTGCCCCCCAACACAGCCGCATGGGGGCCTCCAAACCCAACGAAGCTTCTGAATTTCCTTTCCACAACCTCAGCCCTACCCTTCCAGGTGCTCAGGCCAGCAGCCCTGCAGCCCCCAGGTCCTCCCTTCTCACCCCACCCCCGTCCAGTCCTCCATCTGTTTCCAAAATACGTCCAGCGCGAGAATCTGCACACACGTGTTCACAGTGGCACGATCCACAACAGCCAAAGAGCGGAAGCAACCCAAATGCCCACCAACTGCAGGACAGAAACCCAACACAGGGTCCCTCCACACACTGGAACGTTAGCCACGGAAAGGGGTGACGCGCTGACACAACCTGGAGAACACGAAGCTCAGTGAGAGAAGCCGGACACAAAAGTGTGATTCCATTGATGGGAAACGTCCAGAACAGGCAAATCCACAGACACAGAGGGTGGATTCATGGTTGTCAGGGGCTGGGAGGGGATGGGGGTGACTGATAATGGGGATGGGGCTTCTTTTGGGGGTGATGGAATGTTCTGGAATTAGATGGTGGTAGCCAGCACAACATAGTAAATATACTAAAACCCACAGGATTCTACACCTTAAAACGTTACACACATTTTACTACACGTTAAAACATTCACAAGAAATCCAGAACCTGCCTGCCTTTCACCATTTCCACCTGCTTGTGGCCGCAGTCCTGTCATTGCCTGCCCGGGCAGGGCGTCCTCCCTGGTCGCTGCACCCCTGCCCACCTGTTTCCAGGTCTCCACACCAAGGGGAAGGGTGGCCCTTCCCCTCTCTGCCCACAGCCCTCCAGGGTCCCGCCCTCCTTCCTGGGGTAACAGCCCAAGTCCTCCCCAAGGCCCTGCACGACCTGCCCTGTCTCCTCCCTGCCCTCCCCTCCTCCCTCTCTCCCCCTCGCTCACTCTGCTCCAGACACAGGGGCCTCCTGGCTGTTCCTCCAGCTCACCAGGCACAGTCCTGCCCCAGGGCCTTTGCATGGGTCCACAGCCTGGAGCACCAGCTCTGCCCGGGTGTGTCCGTGCCCCCCTCAGGCCCTTGCTGACACGTCAGCCCTGGGCTCAAGCTGCCCTCTCCCAAGGCCCACGCCACCCTTCACACCGTGACGGCCACATGCACTTACACTCTGTCGTCCACTCCCTGACATACAGAAGCTCCTCAAGGGCAGGTCTGGGCTCTGGCCTCCCTTGTCCCCGGCTGCCCAGGATGGGGATCTTCCCGGGCTTGCGGGGAGGGCATGGGGTGCGCCACCAGTTGTGGGCAGCTGCTCACTGCAGAGAGCCTCACCTCCCTTCCTTCTCAAGACCCCTGGGCCCACAGGCCCACCCAGTGTCACAACCCCTCTGGTCCAGGCTGCTTTCCTCCCTGGGGCCTCCCGGCCCTCCCCACACAGAGGGTGCTGGGCCAGCAGTGTCCCTGCTGGCCCCGGAAGCCCATCTGTCAGGCAGAGGTGCCGCCCCCTCTACCCCGGGCCAGGCCTCGCTATGTGCTCAGACCACCAGCCCCGGGCCCACCCTCCACTTCCCAACAGAACCAGCCTGGCTGCAAGGACTGGCCTGGATCACGGGGGCATGAATTCAAGGACCCTGGCGCCCCCTGCTGACCGCCTCTGAGTGGCCCCCGCAGCCTCTCCCCCAGAGCCAGCCACTCCCCACCGGTTTGTGACATTCAGGCCGCTCTGGGGTCCCGGTGTGTGCAGACTCCAGATGGATCGAGAGACAGGCAGCCCCAGCTGGGCACGACGCACATGGTTTAATGACGGCGATGCTGAATTCCAGGAGGAGCGAGGTTCACCTGCGCCAGGCGTGCGGTAGACAAAGGACTGCTCGCTTATTTAAAAAAAAACACAACAAAACTCAAACAAACAAAAATAAAATCTGGACCCATCGGAATACACACATCTATGTACACTGTCCCTGCTCGTCCCCGCCCGTCCCCAGCAAGCAGCCGGGATGGGCCGGGAGGCAGGACCCACCCTTCCCCAAGTTCATGCAGGCTCAGCCGCCTGCCCCTCTGAAGAAGACCTTAAGAGCTGTGACTTCTGTCTCCCCCAGGGGTAGGGGTGGGCCACTGCTCTCCCCCAGCAAGCCTTAACATTTTGGGGACTGATTTACAGAAACACAGAAACAAATCCAAAGGAAAGTCACAGATACACATATACACATGCACACGTGTGGCTGGCTGAACAGAGCACAAGGCCCTCACAACCGGAGGAGCGGGGGCTCCGGCAGAGCCGGGGTGACCGATGGGACTCTGTGGGGCCCCCCTGGCCACGCTGGACCCCCGCCCTGCCCAGGCCACGTCCATCAATGTCCTCCGACCTGGGAAGGGGAGAGGGAGGGAGAGGAGGAGAGGCAGGGTGGCTGCTCAGGCCCCTGGCCACACACCGGCCCCACCTCCCTCCTCCGTCTCACCTGAGAACAGGGCAGAAGAGGACAATGAGGTGGGCCCAGAGTCAGGGGGAGCTCAGGAAGCTTCTGGGGGAACCCTCAGGTGCCCCCTCCCGCAGCCGAAGGCGCAGATGGACAGGACCCACTAGGGTGGCCTGGAGGAGAAGGGGCTGGGGAGGAGGGCTGGGCGCCCACAGGACCTGACCCGCAGGGTCAATTCTGTCCTCAGGTTACCCTGACCGGCCGCCCAGCAAGCTGCAAGAACCACAGTCGGCTGTGACCCCGTGAGCGACAAGGACATTTGGGGCGAGCCATCATGGCAAACAGGTCCCACATCAGTCTCCCTCAGACAACAAGTCCGCCTCAAGGTGACCTCCTTTGGCGTGTGGCCTGCTCCCAACGCCGTGCCCCTGAAAGAGCCAGCTGCTGGGACAGGGAGAGCAGAGGTGGCTGCAAAGAAACCTCTCGAGTGGGGACGTCATTTCGATTCACGGGCCAACCTGAGCTGCCATCCTGCCAGGCCCTTCCCCGGCCAACCGGCCTGGTGTCCAGCCGTCTGTCCCGTAGCAGGTGTGGGCAGCAGTGAGCACGAGCTTCCGGGCAGAGCCTGAAGCCCCAGCGAGGCGGTGATGGACACGGACGGAAGGAGGCGGCATCCAGGAGGCGTCCATCCCGCTCCGAGAACAGCTGTCCGAGCCGGGGCCACCCAGGGTGGAGGGATCCGGAGGCCCCACTACTGCTGGTGCCCGAGCCCGGCCCCGCCCCAAACACCGGCTGACAGGGTTCACAATCAGGCTTTAATAGAACCTTCAGGGTCTCTCCAGGCCCGGCTCCCGCCCCACCCTGGCTGCCTGTCTTCCTCTGGGGCCCATGTTCGGGGGAGGGGAGGGTCCATGCACGCTGAGAGGTGGCGCTCTGCGACCAGGACGGCACGGCCACGGGTTTACCGGATCCTGGTGAAGAGGTTGAGGACGGACACGGATTCCTGCAGGGCACACAGGAGCGACGCTGAGCCCTCGGTCCGGTGACCTCCCGCAGGGGCCAGCTTCGAGGCTGGGCCGCTGGGCTGGGCGCCAGCCGCTTGAGCACGGGAAGGAAGTTCTGCCTGGAGGGACCCCGAGGCTCCGGGCCTGAGGAGGGGCCTGTGCGGGCACCTTGCGCGGCGAGTGCCCCAGAATGTGCAGGGACACCAGGTGATGCAGGAGGAGAGAGGGGGTGTGGGGATCCCGGGGAGGGCACAGCTGACGGGGTGACTGGGGCTGGCTGAGCGGCGGGGGTGGGGCAGGAGGCCCCAGGACAGGCTGAGGGCACACACGTGGGGGAACATCTGGCGCTGATACCGACCCACTTTACCTTTGTCGAACGGGTTTTGCTAAAGACATTCCAGAACCTCAGGGTTTCATCTCCAGCACCAGTGACTATGGCCTCTCCATCAGGGGACATGGCCTGCGGGAGAAGAGAGACCCCCTCTGTCCTTGTGGCCTACGGGCAAAGCCATGAGAACACAAAGGATGCCACACCCCTCTCTGTGCAACTGGGCAAAGGATTTGCTGGTTTAAGCACAGAACTTTTTTCTAGAAAAAACCAAAATATTGAAGAGTGACTGGATTTGGGGAGGGGCTTTCTCCAGACACGTGCAAGTGGTTATTTGGTGAAACATCTAGAGGTGATCTGAGGGGCTGGATGTGGGTTATTCGTGGCATCTTCTATTTTTATGTGGAAACAAACACCTGGAGATTATAAAGGCAGGCGGAGCTGCCCCTGCTCACAGGGCAGGGGCGCTGGTGAAGCAGATTCAGAGTGATGCTGCCGCGCCCTGCAGTCCAGTCCCAGAGCCCGAAGCTGTTCCAGGTGGAGGAACAGGGCCCAGCTGGGGAGACTCACCAGGTAGAGAACCCGGTAGGAGTGCCCGGTCAGCTTGGCCACCTGTGTCAGGGATGGGTATTTCCAGACGAGGATCTGGTTCTGCGAGTAGCCATGCGTGCTCACCTAGGGGACACAGAGAACGCTGTCAGAGCCTGGGGCTCCCCCCTCCAGTGGCCCCAGGGCACAGACCCCCCCAGACACACCCACCGAGGCACAAGGACACCAAGGCGCGCCCACAGGGTGCAGAGACCACAGGTGTCAGCCCTCAACCCCACACCCTGGTCGATGACTGGCTCCAGACAGGGAACCACACTGCACATGAGAGCCCTCGGGCCTCTCCTGCAGTCACTGGGCACAGGTACCGGGTCAGCTTCTGCCAGACCTGGACAGCTGGGGCCTGGCCTCCTGCGCCCCGCACTCACCAGCTCATTGGCGTGCTTGGACCAGGCGAGGTTGCACACCTGGGAGCCGGTGTCGATGCACTGCAGCGGCTGCCCCGTGAGAGTGTTCCAGAAGCGGATGCAGCGGTCGGCTGTGCCGCCGCCGGATGCCAGCAGCCCGTGCTGGTGCGGGGACCAGGCGATGGCCTTCACGGCCGCCAGGTGCTCTGTGTACTGCTGCACGGGGCTCAGGCTTGAGTGGTTCCAGACCAGCAGCTGCAGGGACGGGGCTGTGAGGCCCGGGCAGCTTGGCCCCCAAGGGAAGGCAGGGCCCATCTTGGCCTCCCTTGGGGTGCACCCGTCACCCCTACTCCACGGCACGGGGGCCGGCGGGGAGGGAGGGAGGGCAGGGGCTGGGCCTACCTTGTTGTCGTTGCCCCCTGAGGCGAGCAGCTGGTGGTCCGTGGACCACTTGAGCCCACACACCTCCTGCCGGTGGCCCTGCAGCCGCCGCTCTGACTGCAAGGGCGGCGTGCGGATGTCCCTCTGCAGGATCATGCGGTCCCGGCTCCCGGATGAGAGCTGGTCGGCGTTCCAGGCCAGCGCCCCTGCGGCCAGGCAGAGGGTGGGATGAGGACGTGGCCTGGCCCCTCAGGACCCGCCCGGCCCCTCGGGACCCACCCACCCCCGGGCCCCGAGCGGCTCCTCACCGACGCGCGCCGTGTGGCCTTCCAGCATGGACAGCTTCTTCCCTGCAGCCGCATCCCAGATCTGCACGAAGCCCTTGTGTGTGCCGACGGCCACCAGGTTCCCCTAGGACAACAAAACGGGCAAGAGCGGGCATCAGGCCCCTGTGTGGGGACCCCTTGCTTGGGCGGCCGGGGAGCTCCCCTCACCTCCCCACGGCAGAGCCTTGGGCCCACTTCTTTCAAGGTCTCTAACACGCGCCCCTTCGGACACCCCTCCTAGGAACTTTCTGGGCAGACAGTCGTACAGAGAGTGGAACTATTAAAATCCATGCAATGTGTCCCAAGATCTGCATGCTTCAACATGTGGAGCGAGCCTGCCCCAGAGTCTCTGTCACTCCAACCATCTCTACCAGGCTGGGGACAGCTGGGGGCACAGGTGTCACTGGGGCTTGGACAGTGACCACAAGGCCAGATTCTGGCTCCTCTGGGTCTCCAAGGCCCCCAACACTGCCGAGGGCCCCTCCAGTGAGGGCCGGTCGACGTCCCTTGGGCCAACCCTGCCCAGCGGGGTGATAGGGCTAGTGTACTGACCCTCTCAGACCAGCCAACGGAGGTCACCGAGTCCCCTTCCACGGAGAGATCACAGAGCCGGGTCACCTAGCAGAAGGGGGAGCAGTTGGTGCCCACTGCTCCTTCAAGGTTCAGACTGTCCATTCATCCATCTGTCTGTCCACCCATTCATTCATTCATTCACACCTCAGGCCTGGGGGCACTGGCATCAGTGCTGGGACCCAGTAGAAGGCAGCTAGGAGGCTCGGGAAGCCACAGGCCAGGAGGGGACACACCCAAGCACAGGGATGCTGACTGCACAGAGCCTGGAGGGACGCGAGCATCACGCCCGGGGGCGGAGGGATCCCTGCAGCAGGTGTTGGCCACAGGCTGCCGGGCCGGGCCGGGCCGTGTGGTGCCGTGCCGTGCCGTGCCGTGCCGTGTGTGTGTGTGTATGTGTGTGTGCGCGCGCGTGCCGGCCTCCCTGTGCTGGCTTCGCTCACCTTCTCTGAACCCACTTGCATCTGGTTTTGTCCCTCAAACACCCCACCTGCAGGGTCTTTGTGCCCTGCAGACCCTGAGCCCACATGTGTCCAGCAGCCACTCCGAGGCATTTACTGCTGGGTGGGGGACACTGCACTCAGCCGGGCCCGGACACCGTGCCTCTTCTGCTGGCACGGGCGGAGGCTGGAGCTCAGGCCGGGGAGCAAGGACTCCTGACTCTCGGAAGCCAG